TAAGCAGCCAGGATAACACCGAATTCTAAAGTTATAATTTTCTCTTAGGTACAATAGTCTACTGTTGCATCTGATAGTTTAATCAGATATGGGACTTGGTAGCTTTTTATTTTTGCTTTTTTGTGGGGGAATACCAGGGATCGAACTCATCCAAGCCCTGTTTTGTATTTTATTTAGAGACAGGGTTTCACAGAGTTGCTTAGTGCCTCACTTTTTCTGAGGCTGGCTTTGAACTCATGATCCTCCTGCTCGGCCCTCCTGAGCTGCTGAGATTACAGGCATGTGCCATCATGCCCAGTTTGTACCTTTTTTTTTTTTTTCCCCTAAAATTCATGTATTTGAAGAGGTTTAAAAAAAAAAAAAAGGTCTTTAAAAAATGTTCCAGTTTCATCCCCTGTTGATTCCATACTTAGTCTGCTGAGTCCATCGGTCCATAGATTATCGACAGCACTAACAATTCTTTCCATCCCCACAGTAGACGCTGGAATTGAAAAAGAATTCTGAGCCCATTTTAACATATTTGGGGCAATAGGCTCTTTGCTGAAAAATATTTCTGTGTGTCAAGAAATGTTATTCTCTCAAGGCAAAGGAACAAGATACTGTGTTCTCATAAAGCAAATTTGAAGAAACATCTTCCCCTTCTATGGACAACTTCCAGATTTGAGCTACTTTACCAGAAAGGGCTGTGGGGTATGTTTCCTGAATAGTCAGATGACAAGCACCACACACAACGAGCGTGTTTCTAAAAGCAAGTATTTCATCAAGATTTGTGATCTTCTGGCTTTTGACCTTGTGGTTTATGAGTCCCATTTATCCCTTGGAATGCCTACTAGGAACCATGAAAATGATTTACAATCCATATGCAGGGGCTTCATTTTTACCCTGTAATTTTTACTTCATGTATGTAGTTAGAGCCCCTTTTCAGTCCTCATGTATGTTTTTGCTTTCTGCCTTTTTTGTAGATGTGTTACCTATTTCATTAATATTTGATGAAATAAGCTCTTAGGTTTTAGGTATCATTTCTCTAGGTTCAATGTTTAGCTTTGACAAATGTATACTAGGGGATCAGTTTTCTGATTTTCTCAATCTGATTCTCCTATCTTCCTCCTCTTTTCCTAGGCTCTTGAGCTGAACATTTAGTTTATCTTACTTGCTTAATTATAAAAGAGTTTAAAACTCAGAAATTTTCCTCTTGATACAATTTTGGCCTTATCACATAGCTCCACATAGTGTTTTCATTGTAGTTTCCAAATAGTCCATAATCTTGGCTCTTATTACCTCTTTTACCTAAGAAATTTCCAAGAGCTAGACTTCTAAGTTATCATTATTATCTTCCTCATTGATTTTTCATCCAAAAAATATTTTAGCAGTGCTTCCTCCTTATCAGGAGCCACATCAAACGCAGAGGATAGTGGAGCAAGTGTAACCAGCACACTCACTGGCCTTGTGGGACTTCTCACTTGCTGAGGAAATCATAAATGTAACCACACAATTAATTAAAATTTCAATAAACATGGACAAAGATCTCAGGGTGCCCAAGACTCCTAACTTTACTAGGAGGAAAGTTGCCTATTACATCCAGTGAACTTTTTCTTCATTTTATTTCCCTGCCTCTCTTCCTGAACATGAATGGTTTTAGTATCCGTTTGACTCTAGGCAAGCAAGTAATTTATTTTCATGTATGTAGTTCTGATGATTCTTTCCTGAGGCTTCCCATAAACTCTAAAATGTAAAGGACTCTCAATTCATATGAGGTTTGTAGTTTGTGGTTCTACTTGCAATAAAAGTTTAAAACACGTGTAAGTAAATGCTGTTTTCTTCTGAATCAACAAATCCTATATTTAAGAAAAACCTAAATCTTAAGCGAGTTTTTATCAACATAATATACACGCATTAATTTTAAACATCAGTACTGAAAGGCTCAGTGAAACAACCAGCCCTCCCTGCTCTCTGCATACCCGCTCGGCTCCCCGGAGGCAGCCACTTCCAGTTATTTAGTGGTTTCTTCTGGTAGTTTGTGCCACAAAAATGTACATCCCTCCCATGTGCATTTGCTACAAATTCTTGAGCCATGCGCTCTGGACAGTATCTGGTGACTTCTTCATAGGATTTATAGATGCTGGTTTAGTTCTCCAAACCATCTTCCTTCATTCTTTAAAAACAATCTCCATCATTGTGGTTAAAATTCTAGTTAACTCATTTTGTTAAAGGAATATTCAGTGTCTTAATGATTAGGAATGAGTGAGTATGTTTCACTGTGTACTCAAGTAATAAATTATGAATAACATGTCCTTTCTTAAATATTTTCATTTCCCTGGATATTCTAATTTCCTTTCAAAAAAATCATCTTACTATATCTTCCATCTACTTACTAGACATATACACAAACACGCAATCTTAAAAATATTTTACTTATTTTTATTTTATTTGTTATTTATCTTCCCCTCCCCCCACATGTGCTCTCATATCAGGTTTTCAAGAGAAAACCTGAGGGTGTCTTCTCCAGGGCTGCTGCAATGGGGACCAGTTGCTCCTAAGGCCTGCTGCTCATCCAGCATCCCAGAACCTCTTCACCACTCTTGGACTGAGTCCTGTGTCTCCTATATCCCATGTCTTCCTTTTCCTGGTTTACGCCTTCATCTCACTAGAGGAAATTCTTGGGCAGCTTTCATACACTTCATGGCAGATATTCAAGTCTGAATTTTTTGGTGGGTATTCTAGCAACCTATATAGTGCTCCTTGAGAAATCATTGCTGCCCCGAATCTCATTGGTAGGCACTGACTGGAGCAGATAAGTGAGGCTAACCAGATCTAGGCCTTCTGAATGCATCTGTGGGATGGTGGGAGGAGGACACACAGAAGACAGGCCTGCTTCCTCTGAGGTGCTATGGGTATGGGTAATGGGGAGACTGGTAGGTAGCTGAACACGACAGTCATCCAGCTGGGACCAGAGAACCAGCGGTGTGGATGCTGGAAGCCTGTGTGTCTCAGCTGCATTTGTATGAGCACAGAATCAGGGTTTGTCTGACTATTGGATGAATATGGATGATGCCAAATAAGTCAGTGGGGTTCTAGATTCCATTAATAAAATAAATAAATAAGTAAAAGACCTCCTGAACAAGGGAGCTGAGAGGCCTCCTGAACTTCACCGGGAGCAGTGCACACTAGGTTTGTGGTTCGGCTTTGGGTAAATGTTGTTCATTTGGCAAACTTTTTATCCAGATTGTTCATGTTAAATGCTGCCTCCTTTCACAGTTCTCCTTGACACTTCCCTTGCCCAAATTCATTTATTATTTTCTGAGTCTTTAGTCTCTATTTACTCACTTCCATGTGTTTTTTAATTTTTTTATTTTTAATGTCTCACTTCTCTGTTGAGTCAAGTTTCCTAACAATTCTTAGACAAGCCACTTAATCCTTGTGATTATGAACCTGAACCAGAAGCGATTGTCTTGGCTCCCTCTTTGTCTCTGAGCTGTGTAAAGCTCAGATGAGTTGTATATTATATGCTTTAGAAACAGCAAATGGGGTGGTGTTATTTCCTGTCCATTTTTTACTATAATGAATAACAGCCTCAAATTAACAAGCCAGTTAGGCAGCCGTTTTTCCTAGCATCTGTGCCGTGTCCCCACCCTGATGTGTCCTGAATTTCTCAGTGGGAGGAAAAAAGCTTGCTTCTCAATCTCTAATTTCTTTAGTACTTGAAAGGCAGCTTATTCTGCCTTTCCTCTGTGAAGTCCATAGGCTTTCTGCATCATGTGCAGTGGGCTATCCCATGGCTACACCCTCTGTGGCTCCAGCTGCTGAGGATGGAGGAATTGGGCAGGGCCTGCTCAGAACAGCCTTGGGCTCCCTGATGCACCAGTCCTAGCCTAGGAGCTGCACTGCTTCCCCTGGTGTTGGGCAGTCACAGTTATACTTCTCTCTGCTGCATTATGAGGCTTTTGAACACTGGCCTACTTCAGTCTGATGGTCATGGTGGGTGTATTGGTTCAGGTCGTTGTACCAAGTTTGGCCAAGGATGCACCAAGCCTGGGGTCTGCTTCATTTACATTCCTGTGTTTATCAATTGACCTCCAATTCCAGAAGCTCTGAGCCTTGGAAGATAGACTTGAGGGATCTCCCAGGATCAGCTATGCTTTGCCAAAGCCAGCCCTCCCCAAGTAGCCCTGCCCCAGCACTAGACTCTCAGCATAGGCTGCTTTCCTACAAGCCTTTGTATTTGAAGAGGCTTGTTGCCATTTCCTGGCACTGGCCCTTGACTTGGGCCACTCAGGAACCACAACGGGAGACCTTAGCACCAAATCTTGAATACCAGGAGTTTATGTCTCTACTCCTTTCCAAAAAGCACTAGCTTTACAGAGCAGAGGTCTTAGTCACCAAGGAGATTGCTTCCCTAATCTTTGGCTGTGGGTAACTGCTCATATTGTGTTGCATAATGAGGTCACCCCTTAGATGACTGCTTATAGAAAAGAAGTTTGTCTTCTTTTGATCAAATCACCATGCCCAGTGTAAATATGACAGAAGCAGATGCTGGGGACTGTGGAGGAGACAGCCTGAGTTGGAGCACTGCCCTGGCTGTGTTCTTGTGGCTTGTGCATGGAGTCATGTGCAAGTTCAGTTCATGGGGCTTTGTGCTGTTTGAGATGTGGAGGGAGAGTACATAGCTGTGAAACAACTCTTCTGGTAAACTTGAGCAGTTTGCTTCACTCTCTAAGCCCCTTTCTGGTGCAGGGTCTATCTTGTAGAGCAGTGGACTAGGTGAATTTAGAAGGTATCTTTCAAGTGTGAGATTCTGGGAAGACAGGAAGACTATGGCTGTGAGAGTTTCTACCTCTGTGTGAAATGTCATTTTAATCTTTAGCTGTGCCCAGGTTTGGCACCTGACAGCCATACTCTTTAGGATGTGTCCTTTTTGTTCTTTGTGACAGCTGTCCTCTCCCTTCAGTTTCTTCTGGCTTCTTTTCTCTCTCTCATCCTCTATCATTTCTTCTCATTTCCAGCTTTTGAATCGAAAAGACAAGACTACCTTTGAGAAATTGGACTATCTGATGTCTAAAGAAGATAATTACAAGCGGACACGGGAATATATCCGAAGCCTAAAGATGGTGCCCAGTATTCCCTATCTAGGTAGGAGTTTGAATTGGCTTATTATTATTTTTTTTAGAAACATGCTCAGTGCCAAATAAGATATTTTTATAGTTTCTAGTTGAAAAATTTCCAGGAAGTAGCAGGGAGCATGGATAAAGAGGCAATTGGTTGGCTCCTTGGGTTGGAACAGGCTGTTGATACTTCCAGGAATGGGAACCTTGATGAGGGGAGAAAAGAGGGACTTTCTGCTTTTTATATGTGTGATCTTTGAACCCCAGGCTCCTAGGCTGCAGCCCAGACATCCACAGTGATGATAGTAGAACTCCTACTGGTTCATCCACGTTGCTCCCAGACTTGAGAGCAAACCCTCTGTTCCGGTTCTCTGTTCTTAATTCTCTATTTCTTAAGAGTTGTACAAACAAATTTATAGCAACAATTATTTATTTTTCTGGTTAGAAAATAATACGTGTTTACTATAAGGAATTAGGAAGAGAAGAAAGTTAATATTCTTTAACTCACTTAGAGAGACTTTGCTCCTTTTCTAATCATTCCTTTGGGCATTTACAAAATCAGTAGAGTTATTATCTACATTTCAATACTTTGGCTTAGCCTCATCAGATGGATGGATTTGTCAAACTTGAATCTACTGCTGGTATTAACCATGTAAGTTATTTCTACATTTTCCATGAATACCTTATTGCAAAAACTTGCTATATACAGTTATGATTATTACTTTGTAATAAATTCCCAGAAGTGTGATTACTAGGTCAAAACTTATGCAAAAATTTATGCCTTTGGGGGCTGGGGCTATAGTTCAGCGGTACAGTGCTTGCTTAGCACTTGTGAGGCCCTGGGTTTGATCCTCAGCACCACATACAAATGAATAAATAGAATAAAGGTATTTTTAAAAAGGCATGCCTTTTCAAAATGCTCTCCAGACAGCTTGTATCAGTTTAAACTTTTTTTTTTTTTTTTGGAACTGGGGATTAAACTTAGGGGCACGCAACCACTGAACCACATCCCCAATCCTACTTTGTATTTTATTTAGAGCCAGAGTCTCACTGAGTTGCTCAGTACCTATTGTTGCTGAGGCTGGCTTTGAACTCCTGATCCTCTTGCCTCATCCTCCCTAGCTACTGGGATTATAGGCGTGTGCCACCGTGCCCAGCTACATTTTTATTAGAAGAGGGTGAAATTGCTTTTCTCCCACATGTACAAATACTGTATGTTTTCTTTTAGTTATAAATGGACACAATGTCTTTACTTTATTTACTTATTTTTATGTGGTGCTAAGGATTGAACCTTATACATGAGCCTTACACATGCTAGGCAAGCACTCTACCACTGAGCCACAACCTTAGCCTCTCCTTCTTCTTCTTTTTTTTTTTTTTTAATCTTTGCCAATTTGATAGGCAAAAAAAATGCTTCTGCTAGTTTGGGCTTCAGTTTTGTGCTAATTTTTGAATTTTTTTGGTTTTATGATGTAAAATAGTTTTTAATAATAAGGAAAAACTAAGATTTCATAGAAGTGACTCCTAATATTTGTAGGGATCTAGTACAATTTTTCTTTAATCTTTGGCATGATATATCTCTTCCATAAGCATTTTTTATTTACATTTTCTAATTCTTTTAAATCCAACTTGGAAATTTTGTTTTTTAATAAGAGATTGTCTATTTGATTCCAGCTTTCAAAATTATTAGCATAGGGTTTTTACCCATTTAATTATTTTACCATAATGCACTATATAGTATATTTTTTATAAATTTGAACTTCTTGGCATATATGATTTTATATATATGTGTGTGTGTGTGTGTGTGTTCCTAATAGTTTAGATTTTTGTTTTCTCTTTCTTTTTAAAAATTTGTCTTGCCAGAGGTTAATCCATTGTTCTTTACAAAGAATTAGATTTTGGATGTGTTTATCAGTCACACTGCCTTTCTGCTTTTTAGTTTACCATATTTTTTTTCTATGAAATGTTTTTTCTCTCCACATTTTAGCACCTTTGAAATTAGGATGTACCTTTCAATTAATGATAAAACATTTTAACATTGTCTAATTGGCAGCAATTTTTTGAGTGATACATAAAAAAGATAGACTCACACATGATTCTTGAGTAATGGAAACAGTTAAGGTTATAAATTATCCTCCAAGTGCTGCTTTTGCTACATAGTACATGTTTTGATACCAATGTTCTATAATTGTAGTTTAAATTTATGTTCTAGTATTACTTGGTGATTTTTAAAAATTTTCAAGGGCTTGTATTTTTCCCTAACAGACTTATTAAAATATAATTAATATATAATCCATTTAAAGAGTGCAATTTAGCAGTTTTTAGTATATCCACAGAGTTGTACAACCATTACCACCACCAGTTTTAAAGCATTTTTATGAACCCCAAAAGAAATTTTTTATCATTGTAGACACTGATTTTCCCTCTCTCTAGCCACCCAAACTTAGCCCTAAGTTACCACTAATCTACTTTGTCTTCATAGATTTTCCTGTTATAAAAATTTTATATAAACTATATCATAGAAATTATCTGAAATAAATGAATTTCTTCTCTTATCATCATGTTTTAAAAATTCATCCATGTTGAAGTATGAAGTATGATCAGTACTTCATTCCTTCTTATTGCCAAATAATATTACATTGTATAGATACACTACATTTTGTTTACTCATTCATTTGATGGACATTCGAGTTGTTTTAACTTTGGGGGTATTATGATAACATTTCTTTGAATGACTGGGTTTTTAAAAAAATTGGTCTTTCATCTTTTTAGAATATGACCTATGTGATTTCTAGGTTTTTAAAAAATATTTGAGATTTTTCTTGTGGATTAATACATGATCAGTATTCATGGGTTCTGGGAAAGAAGGTATAATATTTCAAAATTCTCTTAAGTTGCCTTATAATATTCAAATTATAAATTTTTGAAAAGTTGATTTATCAAGAACAGAAATATAAGTTAGAGTCCCCTTGTGTTTCTAGTAGTTTCTGCCATATATGTTTATTATATAAACATTTATAATAGTTGTAAGTTCATTGCAAAGTGTCCCATACAAAACAATCTTGGTTCCATTTTTTTACTTGCTTTTGCTTCTTTGATATTAATTGGGTCACACTTAATTTATATCTTATTTTTATTGTATTTATGTTATAAATCTTTGTCTATATTTTAGATTTTAATTTTAAGCTGCCCTGTTCTAGGTGTGATCAAATAACATTTAGTTGGACCCAATATGAGAGACCTTGTTTATTGGTAGGGCCATGTAAGTCTTTCACATTTGTTTAGTCTTATGTCATGTAATTGAAATGAATTTCATTTTGTGTTTCCTTCTTCTTTTCACGTTTTCTCACTCTCTTGTTGTACCCTTCTCCCAGTTTGCAGTAAACTGTAGTTGTCTTTCTACTTGATGGCTGGCAAATTCCCTCTTGGGTTCACAGTGGAGGGCATGTTAATATGCGTAGTTCCAAGTCCATTTCCACTTTGCCCGAGGCTCTCAGTTGAGAGATGGGATTGATGGAACAAGGGTGAGGGCAGCCTAGTACCATGTGTGGCACAACTAGTGGATGAAGTACAGCATGGTTAGGATGGCTTCTGTAACAGGGGTGATCAGGAGATCTGCTGTTTATTGCCTACCTCTCTGTGTGCATCACCTCCCTGAATGCTCACAATAGCCCAGGCACTGAGAGGTGCCTAGGGTCGCATTACTGGAAAGTTCAAAGCCAGGAAGAGGCCTAGCAGTGCTGGCTATGAGCCTGGGCACCCAACACTGCCCTCTCCCGACTTCTCACCTCCACTGTTCAGGTCAGTATTTTCCTACCCCTCCCTTGCAGTTGTCACCTACATGTCCTCTGTCATATGTGACTATAATGACACTGGCACTATAGGAAATGGATGAATTGCCGCCATTCTTTATTGTTGTTGGATCACCAATCAGGCTCTCTTAGGCTTTCAGTGTCATTGGCTAGCCTGAGCTGGCCTTTGGGCCCCTTGCCACTTAGAGCGTCTGGACGAGGCAGTATCCTTGCCCTCCACCACCTCATTTCAGCTGCCTTGTTCCTGGCAGGTGCTTCCTATTGGCTCCTGGAGGCCTCCTTTCTCCTGCACGGCCTTCCTGCTCTGGCATTGAGAGTGTAGTGAACTGCCCTGCTCCTGTCCCCGGTCTTGTGATGATCATTCCTCACAGTGCAGCAGAATGACCCTGATATATATAGGTCAGAGGGAGGAACAGGAGGCACCTGGACTCCAGCGGCTTTCTATTCTCAGGACAGCGCATGAGGGTTTACCTTGGGAGCTCCACAATTTGAAAAGTAACATGAAGCAAGGTCTTATTCTGAGGCTCAGTGGGGCCACTGTCCTGAGGGCAGCTGGGGTCTCCACTTGCTCATCTGAATGCCATGGACAGACCCTGCCCAAACCTAGGTTGTGGTTTCTTTCAATACTGGATTCCTCTTGAAAACCCAACCTTCATGGGGATGGATTTGTTTATCTAAAAAGTGATGGTTACATAATTCCTGGAAAGTACAATATAGGAAAAAATGTCTGCAACTATTTGTTTTTCCCTAGCAAATCCTCCCTGTAGGTCTTTCCTCGGGGAGGGAGGAAGCTGCTCTGGGAGGAGTGTAGGCTCCTCTCTGATGTTTCAAGCTGCTCTGTTGCTTCCACTGCCTGAGACCTTGCTCCCGCCTCAGTGGCTATTTGCCTCTAATAGCAAATGTGGATTTTATTTTTGTGATGATTCTCTTAACTCTCTGTGGAAGGTTCTGTGCTAACTGGGTTTCCGTGACTCTTTACTCTTGTGTCATCCACGAGAGATGCCCTCACGTAATATCTATCAGCCACTGTTGCCAACCTGCGTGGGCATGTAGTCCAACCTTTAGTGAACTTTAGAGCCAGTTGGCTGCACTTGGGTGTCCTGGGTTCCTTGTGAAACATAATTTAAAAAACACAGAGGGGAAAATTTATTACATTTAAGAAATAAGACTTTCTTTGAATCATCTAGTTTCTTCCAAATTACTTCAGAGTGTGAAA